TCGTTTGAGCTGCTACTTATGCGGCCACTTAATCAACATTTTAGGGCATTGTTCTTGTCTCCTTTCTCTTTGTTCATGTACTTGTAAACATGTAATTAAAGAAGAGAACCTAGTCCTTTGTTATGGACATGTTGCTAAATTATTGACTCTTTAGTGTCCCTAGCCCTATCCACCTTACAACATGTGATCTTGGAATAATTAAGCTTGTTACTGATAATTGAAGAAAGGCATGACACAAGATCCAATTACAAGTTCAACATGTGCCTACTCTGAACCAAACTATATTTTAATTTCTACCCGCCTCAGAATGCAAAGGAATTGATAATGGAAAGAACAATGTTATTGCTCACTAGACTTCAACTACATCATCCGCATAAACAAAACATTAGTAAACCGAGGTAGTAGCAGCAGTGGTTCAATAGAAAATTGATCATTTAATTCCTAAAAGATAGTTATATTCATAGAGAGAACTAACACATAGACAAAAACACAAAATAAATGAAGTTAGTTATATTTGTTAACCCATAATAGTTATTAAAATGATGAATGATTACGAGTTAAGTAATTTGAACTCAAATTCCTAGAAGAAAAATCAAGAGGACCCAAATTTCCCATGCATGTTGACATAGACATAACAATAGAGAGGTGATTATTAATCTCTCTATTGTAGGCAGTCTATACCATACCTCTAATAACACTTGTTGTCTTATTGAAACCACTTTTATTTAGTATCTAACCTATAAAACTACTTGTGCCAAATACCACCAAAGGTATATCTTGTGATGATTGGTAAATCTAACTTCAAATGTCTTCACGACATTTCAAAACTTGGTGCATTTTCTTTTGAGTCTTTGGTGTTGTTTGTTTTCATGCATTTGGTATGGATTTCAACTTTGCATTGAAGAAGTGATCCACAAGTTTAAAATCGTAGATTTTTATCAAATACACTGTTTGAATGACAAATTTCATACTAACGATTTGGGGTTGCCACATAGGATAGATGCATTAAATGTGATTTCCAAAAATCATAGTGATTTTAACAAATATTTTTAGTTTTAGTTAGATATCAGCAACATAATTGATGTGCAATTGAACAAAAATTGGATTGGTTTATATCCTTCATGCAAATGCCTTTTTAATTGCGAACGAACAACATTTTGAGTATGGAATTTTCTAAATTTTCTAAATTTCTAAATTTCTTTATCTATCTTTTTCCCCTTCACTGTAGGGTTTCTTCTTCTTCCTCCTCCACTCTCTTTTCTTTTCTTTTATTTTTTATTTTTTTAATATTTTGCTGCTCAGCGTTATAGGTTCTGTTAGACCTCCTCGCTCGCAGACGACCACATGACGGCAGGGAACAGTCGGAGAATGGAAGCCACCAGCGATGAGGTCCGTCAGTTGTAGGTCCCCCCCCCAAACAACCCCAACCCCCCTCCAAAAAAACCCACAAAATTCCAACTGCAGAATTCTCAATAATGCTAATTAGTCTCAGTTCATCATTCATGTTTTATCAAGTCTTCGTAATCAAAAGTAAAACTAAAGGGGGAAGAATTATGCCTTGGATTTAGATTGGGTGCTAGTTTGATAATCCTTGTTTTTCTTTCTTTTCCTTTTCTTTTTCACCCTAATTCAACTTCCGACAAAGGTCTTTAGGTCGCAGAATCTTCTGAGGAGTAGTTTTGATGATTTTTTTAATTGTCTGATTTATTCTCCTTGCAGTAATAGGATGGGGACAATTTACATAAAACTCCCTGTTAATATTGTCGTTTGCATGAAGTTTCTATTGCTAGTTTTGATGTTTTATTCTCCTTGAAGTTTCTTAAGACAAAAATAGGATTCTTAAATTTTGTATAGGGTTACTACCATTGTTTTAAATATTCCCGACATGGCCCGATATATCCCTCGATATATCCTTTTACAGGGCTTGCCGCAACCGATATGGTCTTTAAATATCCTTTATCGCTTTTTGACTATTTTGAGTGATAAATCCCCGGTATGGCCAATATATTAGCTGATATGTAGACCAATATATATATATTTATATAGCTTGTTGCAAAATAATATACCGTGTTTGGAATTTTTTGGCGAGATATCAAGATTTCCCCATTATATCAAATGACATTTTGTCCTAAAAAAAGCAGATCGAATGTTGCAACGTTGCTTTGTACTTTTGTTTGTTTTAGAAGGTTGATTAGTGATCCTAAACATATATTATTCATATTTTGTATGTTTAAATTTCATTACATATGTTGAGATTACATTTTAATGCATTATACTATGTATGCAAATATTCATTATGACATTCCGATATTTACCACATATCCCCGATATTTCCCCGATATCCGCAATTCGATATGAATTTTGACCATCCGATATTTCCCCGATATCCGATATTTAAAACCTTGGTTACTACACTTAGTAACATTCTTTACCAAACAAATTATTAAACAAATTATTTAAACAAATTATTCAGGTTAACTCACTACAGTCTGTTGGGTCATTATATCCAAGGATTAAAGTGAGTTGAAATAACCCCGGGACAAAAAAAGGTCCCAAAAATCCAAACATAGCCTTACATGCATCACAATCACTGGAGATTCAATCCATAAAACATGCAGCCCCTTCATTCCTAGTAATGGTGTGGTATGATCAGTGATTATGTAGCATTTCTTACTTTTGTCTAATTTTAGGTGTTGCAGATCGGTCTTAACCCCAGATCCTTGAACTATTGACTTCAAACTAGACAGCTTGAAGAGGCAACGATTTTATTTTGTGAGCACATCTTTCAAATTCGCATCTTTCCCCACTCAAATCAACATGGTTCAATTTAAAAATCGATATATGGTGTTTGAAGTGATGATTGATTCCAAAGATTCGAGTGGTAAGGATCCAATTATTATTACGGAAGGTAATCTTTCAAAAGTGATCAAAGATAGTATTCTATTGAACTTTGGAGAATGCGGTCTTGCTATGTCACTAGGATCCTTCCAAGGCAAGTAATCTACCCCTTCCTTTTCCCCTTTTTTCGATTGTTTATCTTCAAATCTGAACAGTAACTTGGTTGTTCTCGTGCAGTTAAATATGTGAATCCTATATCGAAGCTATGCATCATCAGAGTCACCCGTGATGATCACCAGAAAGTGTGGTCTGCTATTACAATGGTTAGGAGTATCGGAAACTGCTCTGTAACTCTCAACTTGCTTGATTTGAGTGGTGAGTTAATTTGACAAGTAAAACTTATCATCTCTATTGAAACTCATTTGTTTACTCTGACCCGTGATGATCACCAGAAAGTGTGGTCTGCTATTACAATGGTTAGGAGTATCGGAAACTGCTCTGTAACTCTCAACTTGCTTGATTTGAGTGGTGAGTTAATTTGACAAGTAAAACTTATCATCTCTATTGAAACTCATTTGTTTACTCTG